GCTTCACTTGGAATGGCAAGATCCTTCAAAAGCAAAACAACACACTCAGAAAACTCTCTTAAGAGTTACATATGTCAGTCTGAGAGTAAAATAATTTTTTGTCATATTGTCCGTGCAAACACTCTAGTAAACAAGTAGTAGACTTAATTGCTATTGAGTTCTTTGAAACTGACATTTGAAAGTGAGATGAGGTGGATTTACAGGTCTGAGTCAATTATTGTAGAGGAGTAATAAACCTACTCAAACCTACATGTACTACATGATAAGAAGCAGCTGTCTACAGTTAGTAGCCAGACTTAAAAACCTGGTTTCTTCTAAGGTATAGTCTACATCCATTTTCACTCAATAGTTCAATTTTTACAATATAACTGCTCCCTCATTGGCTGAGAACTATTGTCAATAACGTTATCAACAATAGAAATGAAATATTTTGTAAAGCAATGTGTTGTGATATTGAGTCAGGATGAATGAAGGTTAACGAGATTCAAAGTAATAAACACAACGACATTTTTAATCCAGCGAACGAGTGTACATGCCAGAATCCCAGGCGCAGGTGCGCAGGTACAAAACCGCATGTAAACTATGACACAATGCTCAGTAATCCTTGCCATGTTTGAGGAAAAATTTCTCTTGTAAAAACAATGACAAATTTCTGAAATACGGACAGTGCATGATGAATTTCAGAATTTCAAGACCCATAATTACTCTTGGAAAATGTTTATAGAAGAACTTGATGAAGAGAAAGAAAAAGTGGAGGAAAATCTTCAGCAAATAGAAAGCCAATTCTCAGTTTGCAAGGTTGAAAGAGGACGACCTCCAGGAATATTTGCCAATGCCAAAGCAAAGGTTACAAAAATTAAAACTAAGAAGAGGGATAAAATAAAATTAAGATTAGCAGATGTTACTGCCATCTATTAATTACTGGTTTTTATCACTTACGTCATTACATGTAATAACATAACAAATTAAAACAACAACAACAGCATAAACGAAAAAATAGGCAGTCTAAGACTGCATTAATGGTCACCATGACTGATATAGCACAATTTTCAAGCATGAGGTTGTACGTGTATAATGATGCTTGAAGATTGTTGCAGAGGATTTGTATTCACATGCAAAATGGAAAACCTGCCTCATCCCACATATTTATGAGTACCATGTTCCACAAGAGAAAGATGATACATGACTACAAGTGACTAGTTGACATTGAACCAATGATTAAATGGTCATCAACAATAGTAAGTAATGATAATAATAATAGTCATTGTAATAGTAATAATTTATGAGAGCTATCTCAGGAACCTCACTGTTCCCTCAAATCAGGAAATTATGCCCTTCTGGGCATAAGTTGCTGATTCAAACAGTAAAATGCTTTCCCTTCAACAAAAAAATCTCCCTCTAACTTTTCATGATGCACAAATAATACCTTTTCAGATATAAATTTGCAGTGGGACAACTGGACTGACATGCCCTAGATATGGTTCCACTTTAGTTCTAAACAATGTTAACATCATTTCAATGATCATTACGATCATTATAGATAATGGAAAATCGTGGATGATTTGTTAATCATAAGATCCTGCTCAACTGCAATATATAATTTGTTCTATGTTGGAGAATTAAATGTTGTGGCTTAAAGGAAGAAAAGGGCTTCGCTGGAACAAAAATCCCTACTTAAAACAGTCCTGTTGCTCCACTAAATGATCTATTAATGTTAATGCTGTCGCATTTGATTTGTACAGCAGCATGTAGTTGAATTTTGTTACCAGCCTTCGCTTGGACAAGTGACACATGTTTTCACTGTTCGAGACAAGGTTGTACCTCGGCCAGCCTAAACGAATTTCAGGGCGTTAAATTTGCTTTAAGGATCTTGTTGTCAACAGTTTTACTTGTCCCATATCAACGGAAAGATTAAATGGAAACAGAGGGCGATGTAACAAGGAACCTTAAGGAGTGATTAAAGCTGAGCGTTTTAATCTTTAGGACAGTATTTATTACTGATGGTTACAATTAATAAATCCTTAGTTTTACCTTTGGTTGCTGAGACATCACAGGAAACCTTCAACATTGAGTGCTGTTGCTGAAAAAAAAAATTTGCAAAGTCCAAGTTAACCCCACTTCACTCAACAATAATGAAGGCTTTGAGGTTAAATATTAAATTCAATTTCAGTGCCAATTGATGAAAACCTTCATTAATTTTTTTGCAGATTGTAACAGAGGAAAGAAATCAAAGGCTCCTAGTAGAGCTAATGTCCTCATGGTATGTTTCAATTATTCAATCAAGTGGCAAGGACTTTAAATTCAACCCTTTGCCATCTCCTTCCAATAGCACCCTTAAAAGACCAATTAACTTTCACAATTCAGCAAAATTATCAAAAAATTTTGGCAGCAAAGCCAACCTATAGTTAACACCTTTCAAAGAAGTTTAATAGATATAATGACATGTACGTCATGCATTTTTCAAGGGCACGTAAACCCAGAAATCATGGTTAAATTTATTTTTCTTTTTATGGACAACGATGACTACACGACTGTTTTAAAATTTGATCTTTGAGGGCAATTAACGTACCTCAAGCTCATGGTCCTTAACAATTTCATAAGATTTAAGTTTGTCTCTTGGTAAGTTGAACAAAAAAAGAGGCACTGCTTAAATAGGAAACCAACGTGTACAGCACTGCTGAAAAGTACTGTGCACTTTCATCAAGTCCACATACTATAGGTATAACACATGTGCAACACACACTGCCTAGGACTACATAAAAACATGAATATGTAATAATTAACAACTACATGGATTGTAAGCGAATTAAATGAGCATGATAGTGTGTGTATATTACATGCAATAAATCAGTACAGTGTATTTAAGAGACAGAAAGACTCAAAACTAAATCCCATTGTCAATTTTCTGCTGGCCCTCTGACAGGGCGAGGGAAAAAAAGGAAAATTGTGCGCTTTTTCCGCAGCGAATATTGTGTGGGAGAAAAAGTTAATTGTGCGGGATTGCGTAATCTTGCGTCGAACAAAATATTTCGTATCCCACTCCCTGTTAAAGTACTGATCGGGTTCTCCTCATAAATCATACCTTTTCTCGTAATATCAATGTGAAATTCCTCCTGTAATGGCTAAATGACTTCTAGATTTTACTTTGAATGATTTTTATCTTATTGACTGAACTTTATAACCTATTTTGAAGCAATTCTCTGTTCGTCAAAGCGATTAAAAGAGCTAAACGAAAACACTTGAGGAGATCACCCAATAATTTGAGTTTGCCAGTAAAAGTTACTGTCGATGGAAGCCCTGTTTTCTTATTCCACTACAATTTACGAAAGTCTTAATATCTGACAACCCATTCGTCCTGTAAATGCCAAGAATAAACATTCCTTTTTTTTCACTTTGAATGAGAAAGCCACAATGTCAGCAGCCTTATTCAACAACACCTCTGATTCGTTACTTGAAAAAGCATAGGCACAAACCGCCAATGAAAATAGAGTTAGAAGGACAGGGATGAAAAACGTCTGCGCATGCGTGGCGTGAGCACGTTGATGTTGTCGTTGGCAAGTTGTTCGATCGTCTGATCAACGAAATGTGGGCGCAATTTAAACTGTGCATTCGTGGACATATTTTGCCTTTCAGACTGGGATATAAGGACGCTATTTGAAAATAACTTCTGTAAACTGAACTCATCGACATGTTGAACGTATTATTTTTGGGAAATGTTTATTTGCTTGCTCAAGAGCCAACTTTCAGTACTCGGTAAGGAAACACATTGCAAGCTTAATTTCTTTGAGTACAATTTACCTTCATTTTAGATAATAAGCTAAGATTCAAATTAATAGAAGGTAAATAATACCATGCTTTGGTAATAAATGTGAATCTCGAAGAAAAATGGAACTTACATTTTTATCAAGGCAAAGCGAAAGCACACCCATCCTACACGGTGTTACATGAACAAATCAAAAACGCTGCAAAATATCGCATTACCCCATGCTTATCGCTCTCACTGGAACTTAACATTCGATACAGTCCTAAGAGTGTATTGGAAATTAGTTATTTCCATGTGGTATGAGAGGAGCTCCTATGAATGCTGCCACCAGGCAAAAGTCACATGAAACCCATTGTTCTCGTGGATGTGCTACCAAAAAGAAAAAAAATTGTTGGGAAAGTTGGTATAAGTACAATGGTGTTGGAACCCAAATGAAAACAGAAGCCAGAATTGCTTCAAGATTAATGCTGAAAGGGAATTAGGACCAATGGTGGTATAGTCAATGATATTGTTCAGTGCTTTAGGGCCTTGCAGAGGTTGTAGCACACCAAAGGTTTGAGGAGTTTTGTGATTAAATAATAGATCCTGATGCCTAGTAAGATTCCTTGAACAATTAATTATCTGGTACACCCACGCCTGACTCAGTGGACTTCTTGTTACGGAAATGTCCACACTGGATGAATAAAACAATTTGCTAAACAAAAGGGCAATAAGTGTACATGAATTGCTTTGTGTTCTGCCAAGAACTGTTGACTGTAAAATAGTGCTCAGAAAGAACCAGAAAGTGACATTGCCACGTTGATGTGGTTGGATATTGACTGTTTTTTTTTCTTTTTTAAGAAAGAAAAACTTTTCTCAAAAAAAATGCAATAGATTTATCTAGCAACCTTTGTGGCATTACATGGTTAGAGTGCTGGATTGTGTTGTGCGGGAGGTCGAGGGTTCGAGCCCCAGCCAGACCAATACTCATGGTCATGGTCTTAAAAATAACTGAGGAGAATTTCCTACCTTTCTATAATATCAAGAAATGGATAGACATTCTAGTCTTTTCAGATAATGACAAATAAACCATAGGCCCCGTCTCCTGCAGGGTTAGAGGTAGGCGACATGAATTTCCCATGCACGAGATTACTGTCACAGTGTGGTGGATGTCCTCCCCTGGGGTGGGATGGGTGGGTTGCTCTCTTATGTTTCATACATGAGCCTCTGGCTTGGGCAATCAGGGTAACCATGCCGC